CGGTACAGGGTCAAAACCGGTCTTTTGAGTCAGCAGCATAGCTGGGCTGATGATGATTGGATTTTCAGGATCAGTTGATATTGGGGTCACTGGTCGGGAGTTGATTATGGCTGACACTTCATACATGAACGTGTGAAGGACTTCATGGGTTAATTGGCCCTTGTGTTGAAAAAGCATTGTGTTTAGGATCTTGCGGGCCATACCTATCATCCTCTCCCAAGAACCCCCCCCCATATGTGAAGCATGAGGAGGGTTGAACTTCCAAATGATTCCCGACTTATGAAGAAATTCCTGCACTGGTCCTTGTTCTACACACACACCATCCACTCTTAGAGCATCCAAAGCTCCGACAAAGTTAGTTCCGCGATCAGAACAGTATTCCTTCACTGAGCCTCGTATACATACAAAACGGCGTAAAGCATTTATAAAGGCGGAGCTGCTCATCTCCTCTACGAGCTCAATGTGCACTGCCCGTATAGCCATGCAGGTAAACAAAATGGCCCATCTTTTACTGTGAGCAAGACTACTTCTTGTCTTGCGGGCTACAACCTCCCATGGCCCAAAGGTGTCAACACCGACAATGGAAAATGGTGGTCCTGCGGAGGTGCGTTCCAGAGGTAAGTTGCTCATTATCTGTTCTTGAACCTTTCCACGTAGTCGCTTGCAGGTAACACAGTGGTTGATGACTGAGGAGACCAGTCGTTTGGCTCCTGTGATCCAGTAACCATTGCTTCTGATGGCTGCCTCCGTTAATAATCTCCCTTGGTGTTTAACCTCTTCGTGAAAGTGTGAAATCAGAAGCCATGACAAATAAGAATTCTTTGGAAGCAGAATTGGATTTTTAACTTCCTCTGGCAGGTCGCTTTGTCCAAGTCGTCCACCCACCCGCGACAATCCGGAATGGTCTAAATAAGGGTTTAGGTACAAAAGTGGGCTCCCTTTGGGCAGTGGTCTATTTTGTTGTAGAGACTGTATTTCTGGCAAGTATGGATCTCTCTGTACCAATGTTACCATGAACCTTTTTGTTTGTTCAAACATTTCTCTTGAGTTGGGTTTGGTTTTCTCCTTGAAGATCCTTCCTGCTCTTTTTAACACAGTGATAGCAATTATTAACCTCTGCCAGCTGGAGAATTTTTCGAACTTAGTAATCATCTGCCTTGGCGATTCATCTGTGGAGGTCTTTGTAGTTCTGATGCACGGTCTCACTTCAGAATCGTTGTTGGGTCAAATAGCTGATATGTATCTGACCTTGCGCATTGATGGTCATCATCATTTTCACTAGGAGGTGGTCCTTGAATCCAAATACCTTCCACCAGTTCCTTAACACTGGAGACACCTCTAGTCCCGACGTCAGCAGGGTTCCGAGATGTTTGGATGTACTTCCACTGTTCAGGTTTAGAGCGCCCATGAATGATAGCTACTCGTTTGCTGACGTATGTATAGAAGCGTCTGGTGTTGTTATTCAAATACCCTAAAACAACCTTACTATCTGTGAAGTAATTCATGTTCTCCATTGGAACATCTAAGTTCCGCCCAACGATGTCCCCTATCTCGGTGGCCAGGACCGCAGCGCATAACTCAAGGCGCGGTATTGTGTGTCCAACCAAAGGTGCAAGCTTTGCCTTTCCTAAGATGAAGCCATATTTTCCACTAATATTAGAATCCTTAACAAAGGCAACTGCTGCTATCGCTTTCTCAGAGGCATCTGAATAGATATGTATCTCTGGTTTGTCCACCGTGCTGAGAGAGTCGAGCACGAACATCCGAGGGATAGTAAAGCTACTAAGACTGTGCAGCGATTGTGTCCAGTTCTCCCAATCCTGTCGGTAAGTATCAGGTAAGTCTTCATCCCAGGTAGTGTCTGCACTGCAAATGTTTCTTGCCAAAATTCTTCCCGTGATAACTAGGGGTGCTATGAAGCCCATCGGATCGAACAAACTGTTTAAGGTGGAAAGTAGCCCTCTTTGGGTAAATGGCCTATCTCCCAAATGATCACTGAAAGTGAAGGAGTCCGAGTTGAGATCCCAAGACAGACCCAGGCTCTGCTGTGCTGGTAAAGCATCTGATCCGATGTTGACTTGGGTCAGGCTCTTCTCCAAATCCTGAGTGGGAAATGCATTCATAACTGTTACACTGTTGGATGCGATTTTGTGTAATCTAATGCTCCCTTGTTCCTTCAACACTTGCTGTGTTTTCTTCACCAGTTCGATAGCTTCATCTGTGGTTGGAACAGAAACCAGCCCGTCGTCTACATAGAAGTTCCTTTCAACAAAGTCTCTTACATCTTTATCACTGTTTTCGACGGCTTTACGTAATCCGTACGTAGCTACAGCTGGTGAGGGCGTATTGCCGAACACATGCACTCGCATGCGGTAGTCTATCAGCTCATCCTCTGGATTGTTGTTGCGATACCATAAGAATCTCAGGAGATCGCGGTGCTCTTCATTTACATAGAATGAATAGAACATTTGTTCTACATCAGCTATCACTGCTATCTGATCCCTGCGGAAACGCAGCAACACTCCAAGCAGGCTATTCGTTAAGTTAGGACCTGTCAACAAGACATTGTTGAGTGACATTCCTTGGTACACCACTGATGAGTCAAAGACACCTCGAATTTTATCGGGTTTCTTGGGGTGATATACCCCAAATAGGGGTAGATACCAGCATTCTCTGCCTTCTGTAATCGGTGGTGCGACTTCTGCTGCTCCGCGATCTATGACGCCTTTCATAAAGGTAACCATATGGTCTCGTTTGGTGGGATTCTTCTTCAGACTGACATCCAAGGAATGAGCTCGTTTTGCGGCTAGGACTCTGTTGTTTGGTAAGACGGGTCGTTGCTCTTTGAATGGTAAGGGTGCTGTCCAGTGACCAGTGCTGTCCCTCTTGAAGGACTTGTCCATGATTGTCAAGAACTCTCTGTCATCTACAGACAAGCCTAACTTGTCATCGTCCTTTGTTTTTACAAATATGCCACTTTTTGTCGCGAAATGCTCTTTGGACAGACCGTCATGGATTTCCTTGATATTCAGTGTGTTTTCACAGGGTTGTAGAATAGTTTGTCTTCTATCCTTCGTTAGAAACGTCTTGGACACTTGGATATTTCTGGATGAGTGAAATTGTCAAAGGCACACTTCCCCAATTATTACCCATCCCAAAGGCAATTCTTGTGCGAAGGGCGTTTTCCTGGGACCAATCGCCTGACTTTTAACATGGTGGACCTCTGGCAGATCTCGACCAACAAGAAGGGATATTTCTGCTGTTTGATCCAGGTCCGGTATATGGCACGCAATATTGCGTAGGTGTTGGTAATGTTTTGCTACCTCTGGAGTTGGAATTTCCGATCTATCGTTTGGCATATTGTTGCACTCTATCACTGGTGGCAAGTTGAATGTCTCGCCACCATGACAAGCCTGAATACAGAGATCTTTGGCTCGTCTTGCCGACAATAGTACCTTTCCAGCACAGGAAGACAGTGAGTATTCAAACTTATCATCAGCCACACCCATTGCGTCAAAAAGAGATGAAGTACCAAGAGTCTTGTTGCTCTGGTCATCTAGGATGGCATATACTTTCACTGCCTTGTCGGGATGTCCCTTCGGGAAGATTTGTACTAACACAGTCTTGGCACACGATCGTCCATTAAAGTTCTGACCACACAACTGGGTGCACTTAGAGACCAGATCATTGTTGGGCTCCCCGCCATGCTCCTTCCCAGGTGTGCCATGTAATGACTCCTTGACTGCTGTACTCTGCACTTGACCTTTATTGCTTTCAACCATATGAAGCGCTGTCGCATGACGCTGACTGCCACAATCTCCACAGTGTACAGAGGCTTGGCAGTCTTTAGCAGTATGAGTTGTGGTCAAACAACACTTGAAACAGATGTTCTTGTCGCGTATGAACTTCTTTCGGTCTCTGAATGGTTTTTTGAGGAATTCCCTACATTGGTTTAGAGAATGATTTAAGTGATGAATGGGACACTTCCGTAACTGCCCTTGCTCTGAGTCTCCCTGAATTTCTGTTTTCCTTGTGTACACTGTAGGCTGTTTGCGAATGTCAGTGAATAGTTTGGTTGCTCTTGACGGAGAAGCATTCTCATTAGAAAATGGAAGGCCTGGATCATTTAACATCAAACTCATATCTTTGATGAAATCGCAAAACACATTAAAGGGTGGAAACCCTACATCGTGGGCTCTTTTATATCTGGTTGCTCTGTCGCTCCATTTTCCTTGAAGATGGGTAGGTAATTTGTGTACTATGGGGATGATGCCGGCTGAGGGATCATAATAACTCAGGAGTTGCATGTATTTAGGAATTTGTTTCACTGCTTCTATTTCCATCAAAATGTCATACAAGTCATACAATTTCTTGCTATCCTTCACTGTTATCTTAGGAAAGTTCCCAACTTTGGTCTTTAACGACATCTCAACCATCTCGGCGGCCCCATATCTTTCTTCTAACCTCTCCCATATTTTCGCTAAGGCTCTCGTGGGATTCCCTATGTTTGAGATTCTTATGCTTTGTGCGAACTTGGATGACTCTGGTCCTAACCATTTAACCAGTAGATTGGACTCTTCTAGTGGCGTTACTTCCAACTCAGAGGTTACGGCTCTAAAGGAGGTTTTCCACAGAGAATAATTTTCAGGTCGGTCGTTGAAGCTTGAGAATCTGGACATAAGAAGATCTTTTTTCAACAGAAACTTGGTCAACTCACTAGCCATCCCATGGTTTTGATAATTGCTCTGTGCAGGTTCGTTGACGAGTCTAGACGGTGTCAGTTCCGGCAAGAAAGAAGGTGCGTTAGGATTCATCGGTGTAGATTTATAATGCCTATGTTCTTGTTCCAGAGGAGGAGGCAAGATTTCAACGTGACCTGGTATAGGCATACTAGTGAAACTAAACTGGCCTGGTAGAGGCCCCTTTGTAGGAATTTGGCCTGGCTGAGGCTCAAGTGATCCAATGTCTTCAGGCAATGCAGGCATGATTTGGCTCGGAATATGCTCACTCGACTGTAGTGTAAGATTCTGCTCGCGGACAAAGGTCTTTGTCCTTTCTTGTTGAATTTCACTTAGATCTTCAACGCTGGATCCTTCAGTCTATTCGAGCATGGCATTCAGTTCTGCTTCTGCTACAGCTGCTTCTTTCCGGGCTGTGAGAACCAAGAGTTCCTTTTGTAAGTTTGCTTCTAAGTTGACAAATTTAAGTTTGGCCTTTGCTGCCTCAGCCTTTGCCCTTTGTTGCATTATCAAGCCAGAAGACGACAAGGAACTGAAAACGCTTGAGCTGTGCTTGGAACGTCGGGAATTTGCTGCTGAGCTTGGAGCTTTTACTTTGGAAGTCTTCAATAGGTGTGATCTAGGATCTGTTGACATTGACTGGGGTTCAATTTTGGGATTAACACTAGGTTTGGGTTCTAATTGTGAGATAGCAAATTCTGGGTTTTCTGGATGTATTTCTTTAGTCTTTGATATCGATTTCTGAATGTGTTGAAGTAAGATTTCGGTTTTTGTAATAACAGTTTCTCTAATGAAACGCTCGGTTGAGGCTTGCATAAGTGTTTCCTCAGTGTTTGCTCTTTTAAGAAAGTCTATGAAATCCTGTGAAATCCGAGAATACTTGGATACCGCCGACTCAGTTCTCCTCAGACACTGGTCAAGAACTATTACATCACTGTAATCTTGTAGCTCTTGGTACATGTATATTAGGGTCTCTTCCTCTATCTGGTGTTTCAGTTCTCTCAGAGTTCTTTCATATTTTCTTACTTGGGCTGTGTGATTTTCCTGTGCTCTTTCCGTGAGAACCCGTGTCCTCTTTCCTGTCCCCTCGTTCTGGACATCCTCGGAATTCTGCATCTTGAAAGCTGTCAATCTCGTTTTCTTACTGTGTTGCCCCCGTATTTACCACAAAAAACTCGGCAGCTAGTTTACGGTCTTTATTTCAGCATAAGTTCGCCGTAAGAACTACAATAAACAAAACACTAATAAGTTCTTACATTCTCACATACACTAATACACACATACTCAATAATTAATTTAAGTCACGAGATACAGAATTATAAACTATAGAAAATACTAAAACAAAGGTTGAGGAAATTCGAACTGTCCATGAATACAGGCTTTAAAAGAGTCAACTTGCTAAAATATCACCTATCAATATGCCTAACTTTAACAAACAATATGATAATATGATAATACACTTACAACGAGGTGCTTGACCAACTTCCTCAGCGATCATGTTCACATTCACATGGCAGAACAAAAACAAGCGTGCATTCTTTGCGCCTTTTTCACACAACGAACGATAACTCTCACACAGGATGCAGAAGTACAAAATTAGATAACTCGTTCCACTACAGCGATAGTAATGCGTCCGGCGTCCGTCCGTCTGTCTGTCTGTAAACAATTTTTCAAAATGCTACTCCTCCTACAGTTTTGGTCTGATTTCAATATAACTTGCCACACAAGTAGACTACACTAAGATACATAATTCTGTATATCGATTTTTGATTTCCATGAACGGTGTTGCCGTGGTTACTAAAAATAGAAATTTCTGTGAAATACTTTCAAAATGCTACTCCTCCTACAGTTTTAGTCTGATTTCAATATAACTTGGCACACAAGTAGACTACACTAAGATACACAATTCTTTTTATCGATTTTTGATTTCGATGAACGGTGTTGCCGTGGTTACTAAAAATAGAAACTTCTGTGAAATACTTTCAAAATGCTACTCCTCCTACAGTTTTGGTCTGATTTCACTATAACTTGGCACACAAGTAGACTACACTAAGATACATAATTCTGTATATCGATTTTTGATTTCGATGAACGGTGTTGCCGTGGTTACTAAAAATAGAAATTTCTGTGAAATACTTTCAAAATGCTACTCCTCCTACAGTTTTGGTCTGATTTCAATATAACTTAGCACACAAGTAGACTACACTAAGATACATAATTCTGTGTATCGATTTTTGATTTCGATGAACGGTGTTGACTTTGTTACTAAAAATAGAAATGTCTGTGAAATGCTTTCAAAATGCTACTCCTCCTACAGTTTTGGTCTGATTTCAATATAACTTGGCACACAAGTAGACTACACTAAGATACATAATTCTATATATCCATTTTAGATTTCAATGAACGGTGTTGCCGTAGTTAGTAAAAATAGAAATTTCTGTGAAATACTTTCAATATGCTACTTCTTCTACAGTTTTGGTCTGGTTTCATTATAACTTGGCATACAAGTAGGCTACACTAAGATACATAATTCTGCGTATTGATTTTTGATTTCGATGAACGGTGTTGCCTTTGTTTCTTAAAATAGAAATTTCTCTGAAATGCTTTCAAAATGCTACTCCTCCTACAGTTTTGGTCTGATTTCAATATAACTTGGCACATGAGTAGACTACACTAAGATACACAATTCTTTTCATCGATTTTTGATTTCGAGAAATGATGTTGCCATGGTTACTAAAACTGTAAATACTCTAAACGTTTATTAATAGCTACTCCTACAGATGTAGTCTTATTGCAGTATCTTGCCACAAAAAGAGCTCAATCAAGCATCATTATTTTATTTATTGCTGTTGTAAAGTTTTAAGTCCCAACTGCTACTTTTGTCTTCATTTGTTATAAGTACAAACCAGTAGAGCTTCAGTCTCGACAGAGACTTCTGGTCTTACTTTAAATGTATAATTGTGGAATAGATATAATAATTCGGGTTTCACAATGTATGAAGGGATAAATTAAATTCAGACGCATTAAGTGGCTCGTTGGCGCTGCACTACTCATTTCCACACCTCTCAAATCGAAATATTTTAAGTGCGACTTGCCATATACTACGAACAAATTATTAAACTAGCTTGTGCTTAGGAAATCCCCCTCGATATCTCGATGGGTTCTGACGTTCGTACCCTTCTGAAAAATATTGAAATGAAACTAAACAACTTTCAACACAATAATACTTATTCAATAAATTGAGGAGTTTGATTTTACTCACTGTAATGTTTTTTCCGCTAGTGCTGACGCAACTTTACAATCTCGCCGGAATTGGTTGATTTAGCGTTTCCTCGTCAGTCTCATGCGCATCCATTCCATCACCACCAAGACTAAAAATAATATTTTGTAAATAATTATCATGTTATGCACATGTAAAATTACTGTATCTGTTTATAATTTTTTTAACAATACCTAAGGAAATAACTTAGAGCAGAAAACACAACCCCCATGGTCTAGCTGTGTTAGGTACAGAAATGAAAGGGAATGTTTTAATTGTTAGACCCCTATTTTATTTAGATGATATATCGTCTGTGTAAAGATTGGACGTCCACTTCCATTTGGTGGCCTTTACCATTTTCTGGCATCAAATCCATTAATCTCTCTGCACCTTCAAATTGTTTCCCATTTTCTCTTGATTTCAGTTTTATTGGCTTCAAATTTAATCTACCCTCTGCAAGGTTGACAAGATGCTGACAACACAGAACACGATGCATTAATGGTTGAGTTAAATATGAATAAAACAATACACTTATTCAATAGAAGAATTATTTGGAAAATTCTCGGAGAAAATTTCTTCTCTGAAGTAAAAAACTACTTCCACTATCAGTTGTAAGGTGTCGTTACCGTGGCTACTAACAGGGGAGGAACTAACAGGCGTGGAACTATAAAGGGTGGGTAATAATTCATCCGATGAACTATTTGAGTCTGTCACCACAACAAAGGGTTGGTTCATACGGTAATCATCTGAAATACATCTACATATACACTATCTTCTAATGACAATGAGCTTGTGTGAAATATCAAAATTGTTGATAGGTTAAATGAATATCACTACAGGAGTGAAGTTCACACTTACCTTCACGACACAGAAAAAGTCTGAGCCGATCAAATCGTTTGTTGGGATCTATACTGTTCCTATACCCCAACAGTGAAAAGTCCTCTTGTGACCCTGGTAATTTGTCAACCAAAGTTCCGTCTGGATACACAAGAACGAAACTGTCGGAGCTTTTATGTTTTTCCCTAAATGTGCGATTCTGTGCAACAAACTTCTCGAATGCAGCATCCCTTATTTCTTTTGAAACGTTGCTGGTTTTAGGAAATGGTCCAACTAACACTAACCCGCCACACCCTGACAGGCTTAAGGATGTTGTGATCTTAAGAAATATTCCGTTTTTGAAATGGCCATTACCAACATAAATCTGAAAAGAAGAATGTTGTATATATCTGCAGTCTATTAAGAGGGAAATATTTATATTTACAAAATTAATACAATTTAAAGGACACAGGACATAAAAAATATTCTGTCTGCATTCAATGTCTTTATCATCTTTAAGTCAAATTCTAACACTGAATCTGTTAAAGGCCGGGGCCCGGATATAAAAGGCAGCCAATCGAAAAATGTTGGGGAAATTCAACTTTCATTGCAGCTTTCAGATTTGAGAAGCATTTTTGAAAAAACATATTAAATTCGTATTTTTGGCATGGAAGCAGCCACCTTGATGGTGAATAATGTGTCCATCTTTCATAGTTGAAAATAAATTATATCTTGAGTAATTTAGAAATAAAGTTCTAAAGCTGCACTGAATTTTGAATTTCTTCTCAGTGATTGACAAAGTAGGCGGAGATAACCAGTGTTTTGTTTACACAGGAAGTGGCAGTAGCCATGTGCTGCAGCACATGCTCTGTGTGGTATTGTTTTTCATATTATACTATAAACAGTTTTCACTAGTAATTTTTATAATTCATAGAGAAAAAAAATGACTGAAAAACATTTTATTTTGTCAATGAACAGTAAATATACAGGTTTTGAAAAATAAATATACAGTTACTGTATTTATATTTTTTTCCCTACAAACCTTAGGTGAACAAGTGATAAGATATCTCAACTAATATATTGAAGTATATTCCAGTCAATTATATGTAAATGAAATATTCACAAGTCAAAAAAATATTTTTAACACAGGTTTGAGTTCCTAATCACTCCCACAGATGTCCCATGTATGGCTGATCATTGGGATTAGGTAGCCAATGTCTCACAATGCTTACAATACATTTTGGCATAAGGTCTCTCCTGTGATAAATGTCATATTTTTCTGCGCGGATCCTGTCGTAGGGCATTCCTTTTCTGCTGAATATATCTCGGATGCTTCCATACATTTCTATGGAACAACATAGTCCAGAATCTTTTGTATTTTTCCTTTCTCCTTTGAGAATTGCTTCTGTTTGGTTGCTCCGGATCCTCTAACCACCACATTTGTCGGTTGGTTTCCGATGTTATGCATGGACGGCATAGACACTGGACACATTCCTCTTCTTCATCATTCTGATTTATAACGAAATTAGCAACATCATCATTATTCCGCTCCACTTGGACCTGGTTTACATTGTCCTCAATTGGTACCTCATTGAGTTCCCACTCATGGTGTGCAAATAGATGGCATACAGTGTATTGTTTCTCTCTGAGTTTTTGTGACTTCAATTGCTAAAATAGATTTGTCTTCTGTTTCCTCCATGTTGTACTCGGCAAATTCCAAGATTTGTTCAAATCATGACCCCCGGGGGTAGTCATAATGGCTGACCAAAGTTTTACATGAAATATTTGGGAAAATTCTTTAAAAATCTTTTTCTCAAGAATAGCAAAGCCATGATTGGTCATGGGGCTACTTTTGGATTTAAACTTATCAATAATAATCCAATTTCTACTTTTTCCTAGCCACAGTGCTCAGGTGAGCGATGTGGCCCATGGGCCTCTTGTTTTTTTAACAGGGAGACGTGAGGGTGCATTCTAAATTTGAGAGAGGGTACGCGGTATTTTTATTTTTTGTAATTACGCTTTGTCATCAGTTCATTAGCCGGCATGCTCTGCCAGACAATCTTCGATAACGGACGCCCGACAAAGAATTGCGAAGGTATGAAGAAAAGAGTAAAATATTTTCAATCATTGCCAAGGTAAAGAAAAAAATAATTAGTGAAATTTTTTTCTGTATTTGTATAGAAATGACTTCATCGGTGCCATCCACTGTCCTGGATATAGAAGAACGTGAGTTCATAAGTGTTGTGCACTGATCTGTAGAAATTGTGAAAACGATAAATCAAATTCAATATTCCGTGTTGATGAATTTAACTTTTTGTTTTTAAAGTAAAACATATCCATTATTCAGAGGAGAATTTCTACAGATATGTTGAGTTTTGTTGCCACTCCGTTATCCCCCCCCCCCCCCGTTATATTTAACTTGATTTTCTTTTGTTAATTTTATTTTAATTTGTTGAACTAAAAGAAATTTTTTAACTCGTGAAGTTTTTTTTTTTAAATCTGATACGCTTTGCGTTGAAACTTTGTGACTCAACTAATT